GCTAAAAATGATATTTTTACATCTTTACTTTAAAATGTAACACCTAGTTACTCGTTACAAAATTAAATATGTTTAAACTTATCATGAAAGAAGGTGTATATGTGCTCTAAAAAAAATGAAGTGTTGAATTTACCCAACAAAGTCGTGTCAACTGGCTCCACTAAGCCTAGATGAGTAAACTGAGCAAAGAATATACATGTATTGCTCAATGAGAGATGGCGGTGGTGCGATATGAGGGTGTGTCACGTCCTGGATCAGATGCTCTAACAAAGCGCGGAATCTACATTTATAAAACTGGTGATGGGAAAGTTATAGTAAAAGATGAGTTCCTGAGCTTCATTGCTACAAAAATGAGAACTTTGTCTCAGRAGGAAATAGTTTTATTAGCCTCAAACTATTTCTCCTCTGAATGGATCGAGGAATCRAATCGCCAATTGTTTGAGTTATGCACGACCTCGATTCGTTGCATCAAACACAAAGGCCCTCAAAAGGATGTTAACAATTTAAAGGACTGTCTCAGTGTGCTTAACCAGTGTGGTGAAAACATCCCGAGATTTGTTTCGCACTATCTGGATGTACTTCCACCAGTTGGTTTTGGCAACATGGATGCCTCTGCTCTACTCAGTAGGGTGGAGCAGGTGAGCCTGGAGGTGTCTTGCCTAAAGAAGGCCTTGGAAACTCAGGCCACTGTGAATGAGAACCTGGAGGTGGCAGCTTTGGATCGCCGGGTGACTGCAGTCGAGAAGTGCGACCTGCCTGGTCAAGCGCACCGGACCGATGTAGTGCGCATTGTGAGGAAGCGTCACAGTAGCTGAGGACATCTGCTCACCACTCGCAAGTCCAGCTGTCGCAGGACCTGCTGGAATCCCCGCCCTGGACCAGTGTGGTAAAGAAAGGGATAAGAAAGCCATTGAAAGATCAAAACTTGGCTTTACAGCCTTGTTTTGTTTGACGGAGAGTCTAATGACGGTGCCTCACGGAAACAGAGCAAGAAGATGCAATAACTGGCACCAGCGCGGATAACAACATCCCAGTGGTCAAAACTAGGGTGGTGAGTGTTTTTGCRACACGATTTGCACCCAGTCTCGACACTGACACTCTATGCTATTATCAGGCTGATGAACTGGGGAAACCGGTCGATTCTATTCTGAAAAGTTTCAGCTCATTTCACGTCACTGCTGAATGTGAAGACGTGATGGACATGTATGACCCACAGCTGTGGCCAGCTGGCATTTTTGTTCGGCGTTTCTATGAGGCCTGTAGGTCCAGAGAAGCAAGGATGGGTGTATTGGTGTTCCCCAGCAGTGTTCGATGCCTTCTGTATCTGATGCTCAGTTGAAGGGATGTTGAACTTTTGAGTCAGTACTATTAAATGAATATTAATATTGTCTCTTATAATGCACGAGGATTATCTGTTGGGACTAAAGAATTGGATAACCTGCGCCGTTTAACTGTTAATACTCTCTTGGCGAACTGTGATGTATTGTGTGTTCAAGAGACTTTTTTACCAAAACAAGACTTGGAAGGATTTAATTTCCTGCATAAAGACTTTTACGGGGTGGGCGAATCTACCACTGATTTAAGTGATGGAATAGTTTATGGTAGAATACCTGGTGGTGTTGCTATTTTATGGCATAAAAAGTATGATCAGCTGGTTAAGGTGGTCAGATTAAATGCTGACTGGGCCATTGGAATTGAGTTTAGTGATGGTGAGCAGAAGGTCATCATTCTCAATATGTACACACCGTATGAATGTCACAGGAATGAAGATGAATATCTTAATGGGTTATCTTATTTTATGTCTGTCATCCAGGAAAATGCTTCCACTTGTTTTTTTTTTTAATTGTGGGTGACATGAATGCAGACATCTCTGATAAAAAGGTCAATATTTGCGAATCACTTGATGCAATTCTGCCTTGATAATAGTCTGGTTCTATCTAGTAAGGAGTTTCTACCTGAGGACAGCTTCCCATACGTTAGTGATGCATGGGGTACAACCTAATGGCTAGATCACTGTATTAATACTAGTCTGGTTCTATCTAGTAAGGAGTTTCTACCTGAGGACAGCTTCACATACGTTAGTGAAGCATGGGGTACAACCTAATGGCTAGATCACTGCATTAATACAGCTGATACTTTTTTTAATTAGTTTTTATTTCGAACAATTAAAAAATATTATAATAATAAAATAGTAAAATAAAACATATACATACATGTAACAAATACAGGAGAAAAACACATAAAATAATAAAGCATTAATTACAACAGAAAATTTCCAACAAAATATAACAAACATAACTCATGTTCGAAAAGAGAACAGGAAGAAGAAATAGCTTATCCAGTCATGTTCCTAAGACTTCATAAAAATTCTTAAACCAGTTACAATTTACTTTACCATCTATAGATCAGAACTTAAYAAACATTAACACACAAATTAGAATTAACATAGCATTTTATCACATTCATTTTTGTAAACATTATTWATATACACCTTATATTTTCTCTTGAATTGCGCAATATTTTTACTTTGCTTAATTGCATCATTTAAACCGTTCCACAAAACCACCCCACAAACTGATATGCACATACTTTTAAGAGTGCTGMGTACACATGGTTGCATTAGATKACCCTTCCCTCTCAGTTCATACCTTCCCTCTCTGATTTTAAATAAACTTTGATTATTCTTTGGAAGCATATWGTTTCTAGCTTTAAACATCACCTGTGCAGTTTTAAATTGTACCAAATCCATAAATTTCATAAGTTGTGATTTAATAAATAGTGGATTTTTATGTTCCCGATACCAAACATTGTGTTTCATTCTTAATGCTCTTTTTTGTAGTGTACATATTTTTTGTAAAGAAATTTTTTATACTCACCAGACTATCGAATCAATGAGGATTAATTATGAGCTCTAAACTTTTGATCATATGCCTCTTTCTGTATCTGTAAATATTAGTAATCTACCTGCTGTTCACTCTGCTCACAATAATTTGAGTGTTGGAAAACTAGACTGGTCTAATTTGACTGAGAAGGACCTTGATGTATGATGTCAGCTCATTCTGACACACTGCGTTGACAAAGGATGCTGTAGCATGCTGTGAYATTAATTGTAAAAACCCACTACATGGTGAAGAATTGTGCAACTCGTATGAAAATATTGTGAAGTCTATTCGTGTCTCTAGTAAGGCATTGTATAAGACTAAGCTGCACAAAGAAAAACCAGGATGGAATGAGCATGTGAAGGAGCTTCATGCTGAGGCCAGGCGGGCCTTTAAAGGCTTGGGTTGAGGGAGGCAGACAGAAGCATGGCCTCCTTTTTGAGTATAAAAAACRGGCTAATGCAATTTTTAAAWATGCTCTACATTTTATTAAAAGAAATGAGAATACAATTAAGTCTAATTTGCTTGCAAGAAAAATGTAAAATAACTGCACACATGATTTCTGGAAGGAAATAAAGAATATGAATAACTATAAAACAGGTTTGCCAACTAATATTGATGGCATTTTACCTGATTCGCTTTTAGCTGTTATATCAGTGCCTATTATAAAGGATAAAGCTGGCAAGATAAAAAACATGAATAATTATCGGCCCATAGCCTAGGCCAGTGTACTATCAAAGGTTCTGGAGAGGGTTATATTGAGAACATTTTCTCCTTACTTCAGATAACCAGTTTGGTTTAAATCACAGCAAGGCACAGATATGTGTGTGTTTGCTTTGAAAGAGATTTTAGATTTGTATAATTCTACAATTTTTATGTGTTTTATTGACGCCTCAAAGRCTTTTGATCGGGTTAATYATGAGAAGTTATTTTTTAWGCTGTACAACAGAGGGGTTCTCAGATSTATAATTAGAATTTTGTCCTTTTGGTATACGCATCAGTTAATGTACATAAGATGGGGTAATTGTGCGTCAGCCCCTTTTAAAATAAGAAATGGGGTTAGACAGGCATTTTGTCTCCTATTCTTTTTATATGGATGATTTATCAAAGTGGCTACAGCACTGTGGGACAGGATGTGTTGCTGGTGGGGCCATAATTAACCATCTTATGTATGCTGATGATTTAGTTATTTTTAGTCCCTGTAGTGCTGGTCTTCAACAACTATTGAGGACCTGATCACAATATGGTCAGGAGTACGACATTATGTACAATGCATTGAAAAGTAACATTTTGATTATAAGAACCAAGGAGGATCAGAAGTTGGTATTTCCTGACTTCTCCTTATCTGGTGTTGTTCTTAAGGTGTGTACTGCTGTCAAATACCTGGGACACTACATAACTGATGATCTGACTGAGGATATAGACATTAACAGACAACGGCATTTAATGTATGCACAAGCTAACATGCTGTTACGTAAGTTTGGGATGTGTTCCGTTCCAGTGAAAGTGGCTCTCTTTAAAGCATTTTGCACTTCTCTGTATACTGCTCACTTGTGGAAAAAGTATAAACAAAGTAATTTACAGAAACTTAAAGTGGCATATAATGATGGAATGAGGTCGCTGCTTAGGATGCCGAGATGGACTAGTGCTAGTCAGTTATTTGTTGGTGTCTCCACTTTTAATGCTGTTTTACGAAACCTTATGTATWGGTTTATGTGGAGGCTACGTGTCTCTACAAACAATATCATCAAGATACTGACGGATATATCACAAAGCTCAGACAGGTTTAAGTCCAGAATGTGGAATCACTGGTGACCAACAGCCTCTCTGTAACTCAGTGACTTGTTTTATGTGATTATTATCTCTTTTATGAGATTGTTTCCTTTTCTTTTTTTTTCTTAAATTATAATTTTCCATGGACCTATTTTGTGTCTTTAATAAAGTTGATGATGATGACTTTCCCAATTTTTGTGAACAGTTTTATGACTTTTACTTGAGTAGTTTTCTCATCGGTGAAATTTATTTTTACCAGTCATTTTCTGTTCATGTAATATTACTTTTACATACCAGTAGTAATTTTTTTTCAAGTACTTTATACAAGTACAAGACCACAAGAAACAAAAAGTAATACTGTATATCCCTTTAAAAAATAACAGAACAAAAAAATAATAATAAATGAAAATGATTCAAAGCTGATTTAAAGCATAGTCTCATTCCTCCTGCTGGTAACATATTTTTCCAAGCAACACTGAAGTTGGAACAAGTTTTTGTTTTGGAAATAAACAAGGTTGGAACCAGAACTGAGGTGTGGCATGAAGCTTTCTAAACATCTTTTTACGTGTCCGACCCATTTAAACACTCTTCTTCATAAAGTTTGCTCTCTGATAGGTAAACTCCTAAAATTACATCTGCGACAGGCTCGGGTGCAAAAATAATAGTCCCCACACTTCTCAGATACTAATTTTGAACTGTGCTTAGATAATATTGAAAGTCACAGAATTACAACAAAAACTGTCAGTGACAGGTGCAAAGGTCTCATACATCTGCCCTGTAGTCTGAACATAAAAACTAACCTGTAAAGGGGCAAGATGTAAATTTCTGGGATAAATACAGAGATAATTATTCTGATATAAGTGGCTGTATTTTCTAACTAATCAAAACGCCAGTAAACAAAGAGCCAAAAGTCTCACCTTGACTTCCTCCCATGCATCCCTCTCCTCCTTTAAAACCCGGCTGGTGTGGAGTGGGGTCTGAGGAACCTCCATTGATTGCTTTTAGGAAACAAAGAACCACATCCCAAGCTTAATTCAGTGGCCAGAACAAACAAACAAAAAAATAAATCAGAACTCATTTGTTTTGGCTCTTACATTGATCCATGGATGATTCATGAACTCTGTGATGGTCATCCTTTGGGTCGGCTCGGTCTTTAGAAGTGTCCTGATCAGCTGTTTAGCTGCAAACATAAGATATGCAGACAAGGTTTTTCATTTATTAGCTCTTTAGTCAAAGATCAAATACAACAATGCAGCAATAAAGTTTTAACTCCAACAAAGTTACACACCATTTGTTATTAACACTGTTTTTTGTGGTTTATTAACATCCAAATATGTTGATAAAAGCAGAGATAAAGTACTTAATTATCATTATTAGGGTATGGAAACTAACTGCATGTATAGTGCTCTGTAAGCAAAGTACAACCTCGTGGATCATTTAAATATTCCACGCATTTAGAGAGAAATCGGAAAAGTGAACATCGACATCACGCAACTCTGGTTCTCTTTTTAAAACTGACATATTAGTCAGAAAACCGAACCTCATTTTCAAACGTCTAAATAATGACAGAAATTTAAAAAAATTAAAAAGGTTAAACCCCTGTATCAGTTTCAATTCCTTAATGAGACTTAGATCAGTCTGGATGTTTCGGTGACATGTTTCATATTGAGCAGGAAGTTAATCATTAAGTCATGAAATACCATTTATGAAGAAAATGAGAATTTCACACAAGACAGTATAGAAACTATCCCATTGACAGTTTTAGAATGAAACAAAACTCAGTAGTCTAACACCTAAAACTTTGGTTTTCACTTAAAACAAATCAAACTATATTTTTTTGTATAAAATAATTGAAGTGTTGGCCTGTCAATAAGTGTTGCTGCAACCACTCATTTAGTTTCATTAAGCTATGCTACAGGCTAATGAGAGTCTTTGATCCTGCCTAAACCCTGCAAAGGATTTACTCAGAACTGATCTGTATCTCTCTTCCATCCATTCTGCATTATCAAAGATCAGTCATTTATATTAGCAAAAAACATCTGCAGGCTGATTTCATTCTTTTTTGGTAAACCATCACCAAACTTTACCCACTACTATAAAATTTATCGTGTTTTACTGAATATAAAATGCGGTAGAAAATAATTTGGTTTCTTCCTCAACATCTGTCTTTGAAACAATCTTTTAAGTATTCTCTAAGTTTTCAATAACATATACCATCAAACAGGAAATGTGTAGTTTTACCTTCTTCTGATACGTCAGACCATTCAGGATTGGGGAATTCATACTGGCCCATCCTGATCCTCTTCTTCATCCCAGGAGAGATGGCTAGGCCGTGGTTAGAATAAAACGGAGGATACCCACACAACCTGTTGGAAATTTATAACACTATCATTATGGCATCAAATACAAAACCACACATGCAGTAAAAATTTGAGGAATTATACAAAACCTGACTTACAGGATATACATAATGACACCCAACGACCACATGTCACATGACTTGTCATATTTCTCTGGGCCAAGAACCTCCGGAGCTGTAAACAGAAATGAAGGTATGAGGAAAATGATGCATTTGTTTACCAAGAATCCTATCACACACATTAATAGGATGTTACTAGCTGGCGTGTCAGAAAACACCCTCAATACTAAAGAAAAGTGGGAGTTAGAGCTATAATTGAAGATAAGACCTGGGAAGTCGCAAGCTATCATGAAGATATCAACAGCAATATGTGGACACAATTCAACTATAAGAATTAAAATTAAAAATTTTTGTTTTCCACCATTAGTTTTAACATTCAGTCTCAGCCTTGTGTTGGAGGAACTGTGGCCTGACTGTCCAGTAATGTTGCAATATTGTTGGAATGAAAAAAAGGGGCATTAAATTAAATATTGAGAACCGACTTCGGTGGCCACAGTTCTGATCAAACGCTAACCATAAATACCTAAATTGAAAAAAATATAAAATAAAATATGGAAGAAGCTAAAGCTAAACTTTTAATATTTAACATATTAACATTTGCCATGTGGCAGCCAATATAGTGTGCCATCGTTGGGTACTGCCTTTAAAAATGACCAACTCACATGTCCCCCCGTCTCAGACCTCTTGGTAACAGTTTCAGAATTACTATCAATAACTAAACTTCAACACAGATATCAAACCAAACCTATATCGTGATGTGACAAATGTCAACACAACTCAAAATCCCTCATAGATCACAGATAAAAGCGTTTACATCTCTTTTTAAGGTGAGAAAATAGAAACTAAATCACTGTGCACTGCATGCTGGGAAATGGAAGCAGAGCTACAGCTGACAAACAGGAAAGCAGATGTAGGAGGTGGGAAAAGACAGTTTAAAATGACAGCCTGGCAAATGGTGTTTGTGCTGATTAGTTCTTATATTTAAACAGTATTTACACTAAAACCAAGTATTTGTATGAAACAGATTACAGCAAAGATGGGTGTTTTCTTTTCACTTTTTTGAATTTTGAAACAAACTCAGGAAATCATCTCTATGTCTGAATGATGTCCAAGCTGCAAAGGATGCTGGGAAAATATTTATTTTACTATAGTTTTTAGTGTGGACTCAAGTTTTTCTAAATTAAATTGTTCCCTCCATAGTGGGATGCAAGTTATCGATTTATGAATTAATTTAAAGTTGACTGATCTTATTGATCCACTAACGATTAATTGATAAGCGGCCATTTTCTTAAAAGCCTGACATTTCTCGAGTCAACGGTCTTTATGAAGATATATTTTTACATGCTAAATTTTAAAAAGTGCACTATTATATAT